GAGCGGGCCCGGTGCCAGAAGATGCCGACAGACGAGTCGGAGGCCCAGACGCTGGCCTCGGCCGACCTGGACTACATGAAAAGTGAGTGGGGGACACCCTGCGCCCCGGGGGCTGCGCTGGCAGCGTGCCATCGGCACAGTAGGAGCCGAGCCGTGTGCTGGGGTGAGCGGGGCTGGGGCCGGTGGTTCCGGCAGTGCCAGGCTGCCCCATGGCTGCAGCAGAGCCAGGCTGGGCGCACACTCTAGCCCTGCTGCAGGCGCTGGGTACGGCCACAGGGGACCCCTTCTCAGGGTGCTGGGGATGGGCCAGGTCCGTGTCTGCGTGGAGCGCGGCCAGGAGCTGGTGCCTGGGGCGGCTGGAGCCGGAGGCAGTGGTGGTGCCTCCCCCGGGTGCTCGCCAGCCCCTGGCGATTTGCAGCTCGGGGACTCCCAGGGCGGCGGGTGACGCTTCTGCCTCAGAGCTCCCCAGGGAGCGCTGCCTGCAGCAGCATCCGCCTGCTGACGGGCACAGGCAGCCCTTGGCGCGGGGGGCACGGGTGACCCCAGCGTGAGGAGCCACCTCGGCTCCTGCTCGTCACCACCAGCCCTGGCGCTGGAGAAGCAGCCCAAGGTGCCGCAGCGCTCGCCAGCACGCAGACCGCATCCCCGCTCCCCCGCCGAGTGCCGCCCTGCCGTGCTCACGGACCCCGGGGCTGTGATGGTCCTCCCCTGGCCCCGGCTCGGGTCCCTCTGCTCGGAGCTGCCCCGGGGCAGGCTGCCAGCCCACAGCTCCCCTGGGCTGCCCGGGGCCGGGGCTCAGCGGCCCCCCCGGGCCGGGGCTCGAGATGCGGGGCTGTGAGCTCTGCAGGTCACCCGCCCACCGCCATCGCTGTCTTCCCCGTCTCCGGCAGGTCACCGCTTCGAGGACGTGCCGGGGGTGCGCCGGCACCTCGTCCGGAAGAGTGCCAAGGCGCAGGTGGTCCACGTCAGCAAAGACCACAAGGAGCCCAGCACGCGACACCGCAAGCAGGACCGGCAGCCCCATGAGGTGCGGGGTCCCGGGGCGCGGGCAGGGCTGGGGGTCCCGGGCGTGGTGGAGGAGCCGGAGCGCGGTGCAGGAGCGGGGGAGTGGCTGGGTGGGCGCGTCTCACTCGGGGTGCTGCAGAGGGGGGCTGTCTGCCCGTGGCCCCGTCGCCGTGGGGGTCCCTGCCGTCCTGGCGCTGAGCTGGCTGTGCCGGCAGGTGTTCGTGGAGCTGAACGAGCTGGTGGCGGACAAGAACCAGGAGCTGCAGTGGAAGGAGACGGCACGCTGGATCAAGTTTGAGGAGGACGTGGAGGAGGAGACGGACCGCTGGGGCAAGCCCCATGTGGCCTCCCTGTCCTTCCGCAGCCTCCTGGAGCTGCGCAAGACCCTGTCCCACGGTAGGGAGGCAGCGCCGGCCCCACGGGGCCCGGGCGGGGGGGGGTCCCTGGCCCCGCTTGCCTCAGCCCCCCCTCCCTCACCCAGGGGCTGTGCTCCTCGACCTGGACCAGAAGACGCTGCCGGGAGTGGCTCACCAGGTGGTGGAGCAGATGGTCATCACCGACCAGATCCGGGCCGAGGACCGCGCCAACGTGCTGCGGGCCCTGCTGCTCAAGCACAGGTGAGCGCGGGGGGGCAGCGACCCGCAGCCCCCCCTCCGCCGGGCACCGGGCTCTGCTCCCCACGGCCGTGGGGACAATGCTGTCCCCGGGGCTACCAGCATGCAGCGTGCCGGCAGGGATGGCTGTGCCAGGCTGTGCTGGCTCCCACCGGGCCACCACCGACAGCCCTGGCTTTGTCCCGCAGCCACCCGAGCGACGAGAAGGACTTCTCCTTTCCCCGAAACATCTCAGCCGGCAGCCTGGGCTCCCTGCTCGTGCACCACCACAGCACCAACCACGTGGCCGAGGGCAGCGAGCCGGCCGTCACCGAGCCCCTCATTGCCGGCCACGCCGTGGAGCACGACACGCGGGTTGATGTGGAACGGGAGGTGAGCCTGGCTCCCGCGGCTGTGCTGCACCGTCCCCAGCCCTCTGCCCGTGCCTTCCTCCCGGGCTCCTCATCCTCGGGAGGGGCCCTGACCCCAGCGCTGCTGCGCACTCTGTCCCCGCAGAGGGAGGTCCTCACCCCCACGCCGCCGGCCGGCATCACTCGCTCCAAGTCCAAGCACGAGCTGAAGCTGCTGGAGAAGATCCCGGACAACGCCGAGGCCACGGTGGTGCTTGTGGGTACGGAGGGGTGGTGGGGGCTGGGCGG